CACAGGACAGAGCGGAGTTTAGGGCTGTTGTACATAGGGTCGCTATGAGTCGCAAGCGACTCGATGGCACATAACAACAACAACAACAACAACAATGATATCCTTGATGTCATCCCACACCATATCTGGTCTTCATTTAACAGTCTTCAAATCTCATTTTGATGTGATTACTAGATGACAGCAGGATACACTTAAGGTTATACTTTGGTTCTCATAAATTTGTGTTCATTTGCTTCTTCTTCAGCTTGTATCTATGAACAACTAATGATCAGTTCCTCACGGGCCTCTGATCTTATTTTGACTGATGATATTGAGCTTCTCCATCAGCCCTTTTCACAGATGCAGTAATTCTGATTCCTGTGTTTTTAATCTCATTAAATACAAATAGGTAGGTGCCTTGTATGTTGTTGAGAAGGGTATTAGCAATGAGTATGTCGATAGAATATTCTACCATGAGATCTTCTGGGTCTATCACATATTTTCCAACTCCTGAGCCTTCTTATTTGTCTTCAACTTTGCATTCCAATTACCAGTAATTACCAATGCATCTTGATTGCATGCTTGATCAATTTCAGACTGCAGAAGTTAGTAGAAATCTTCAATTTCTTCATCTCTGGCATTAGTTATTGCTGCATATATTTGAATAATGATGTTAGCTAGTCTTCCTTCTAAGCCATCTTTATGCATTCCATTTCATGTTTGATGACTTCCAGTTTTCCTAGATGGACTTAGTGCCGTCCACATGGTGATTCTGACTAGTTGTTTGCAGCTGTTTCTTCTCATTTTGTGTTGTGCCTCATCAGAATCTGAAGGTTCCAGAAGCTTTCCTCCACCCACATCATCCCAATTGTCTACTTTGGAAGCAGCTCTTCTCCAGTTGGATTTTAGTGTCTTCTAACTACAGGGGTCCATCTTCTAGCACTGTGTTAGACAAATTGTGCTGTTATTTGTGAAGTTTTCACTGGTCAGATTCTTTTACATATCCACCCCTAGGTCTTTCTTTTTTTCTGGTCTTGTCTGGAAGTGCCACTAACACCCCTGCTAGCATTTGAAATACTGGTGGCAGATCTTCCAGAACTACAGCAACACACTAGCCATCATGTATTGCGGACTGTGGATGAATGGCAGTCTCTGTTAAGTCCAAATGTGTCCAGCAGATCTCTGTCTACAGGAGGGTTTTGGGGATAAGAAAGAAAGCAGGTCAAGGTTAGGGCAGCAGAGGAGTGGGGAGTGGGTGCAGCAGGGTGCACCCTGCACTTCTGAACTCAGAGTATCAGCGCCAGCGAGGGGGCCTGACTTACATGAGAAGGAGCTCTAACAGTTCTTTGTTTTTTCCACCCCAGGTTCTCCACCATTTTTGTATTCCTTGGAGCTCTGATCATCACTTCTGTTTTGTTGCTTTTCCCTCGAGCCAGTGAATTCTCAATCCCAGAGGAGGAAATTAAGGTAAAACTATTGGCTTCGTTTTGCCTTTTACTCCGTAACTTGTCGTCTTGTTCTCCCGAGGACTAGCAATGGCAAAGGAAGGAAATTGCTCTGAGAACATCAGGGAAGTAGTACTGACCAGACCAACTTAAAGAACTCTATTTTTTACATGGGGGGAGGGTGTCAACATATGGAAACTCCCCCAACCATTCAGTACCATACATGTGAGCTAAATTGTGGACTTCTACTTCAGTTTCCTTGTCTTTTAAATGGGAAGAATTATGTAGGATGTAAGCTGCCTTCTTTCTAGATTTCTGCAGTGTGAATACTGAAGGGCAGCCACAGAGCAAATGCTGTTCTGAAATCAATTCCTCCGTCTATGAGTTTCAGACCCAGGGGACGAGGATGGGGTTTGAGCACAGCATACTCATCAGCATGGCCAGCAGAACTGGAGTTCTCATTTTCAGGTTTTCAGAACTGGGCCCTGCAGCAGCCTGGCTCAATACTATATCAATAATACATGACCTGGGCCTTCTGCACCCAAGGCCTGCTAATTGGCTAATTAAAAAGTGGAACTTGTCGAACGCGCAAACATGTAGCCCATGAGAGACTTGTTCAGTGCTGGAGCCAAGGCCAAGGCTAAAGCTGCTTCATCAAACTGCTCTTTGGTGTCCGTAGGGTGTAAAGGTAATCTCTGGAGCTGCTCAGGTGTCTGCAGCTTGCCTTCTCAGGGTCTCTGGGTTTTGGTGAATGCCCAGTGTTGTATGACAGGCACGTTGTGTATCGGTCACGGTATTAGTTTCCTATTGGTGCTCAAGAAAATTATACCACAAACTTACTGACCATACCAGCACAAATGTGTTCTCTTACAGCTCTGTAGGTTAGTCCAGAATCAGTGTCACTGACCTAAAATTCAAGGGCACTGGTAGGTCTATTCCCCTTAGAGAATCTAGGAGAGAGTCCACTTGTTTCCCTTTCCAGCTTCTAGAAGCTGCCCACATTTCTTGGCTCGTGGATCTTCCTACATCTTCAGGGCCAGCAATGTAACATCTCTGGCCCTCTATCTCTTTCTCTGAGCCTCTCTTCTACTTTGAAGGGTACCAGTAACAATATCATGCTTGGAAAGATGGAGGGTCAGCGAAAGAGAAGAGGACCCCCGACGAGATGGATTTACATGGTGACTCCAGCAATGGGCTCAAGTGTGTCAGAGATGGTGAGGATGGCACAGGAGAGGACAGGGGTCAGGTCTGTTGTTCGTAGGGTCGTTATGTTGTACATAAGTCAACAACACCTACCAACAGCAGCAGTGATTAGATAGGAGCTCTGGTGGGTGTTACCGTGTCTGCTGCTAATCAAAATGTTGCATGTCACTGGTGGTTCTAATCCATCAGGATAAGGATGGCCGGTCTCCTCCTTTAAGATTGCCAGACTCAAAAGCTCAGTGAAGGATCACTGTGAATTGGAACCTCCTTGAAAGTAATGAATTTGAGGGGGGTTTTTAATGGTTATATTGGGCCTACCTGTATAATGCAGGATAAACTTCCCATCTCAAAGTCAATTGATTAGCAACTTCAATTCTATCTGCAACCTTGTTGTTGTTGTTGATTGCCTTCGAGTAGAGCATGACTTATAGCAGCTCTATGAACAAAAGGATTGAAGCCCCTCTACAACTATCGACATTTATCAAAGTTCACCAAGTTTCCGGAGGCATACTGTTTAGGAAGTGGATGACACTCCTGCTTCCTTAGTTGTTCCTTTTTGCCATGTTGATGTTGTTGTTGTTGATGTGTCTCATCAGATCGGGACTGATCTGTAGCTGACCCTCCCCTGTGGGTTTTCAGAGGCAATAATCGCTCAGGAAGAGATTACACATCCTTCCCTTGCCCAGCAGTTTGTGGAGTCAAACCATGTGCCTTCAAGATTGCAGCGCACATTCTTACCACTAGGCCACCAGAGCTATCTTTACCATGTTGTAGGTCCTCTAATATATTGACAGGTTCCAAAGATTAGACTTTGGGCATCTTAATTTCTGGAAGGATGAAGGAGTCAGGGGCTGACAAAAACAGTATTCTTTCATCTACTCCAATCACCTCACAGGTATTTTGTATTCTTTTCTAAAGCTACTGAAAACTATGAAGTTACCCAGTCAGTTGGTTTATGTTGTTGCTCTGTGGACTGTAGATCAGATTGATTTTTCCTGCTTAAATATAAGTATTGCCAGTTGGATCTGAGGAGAAGACAATGCTGACAACATGCAGTAGAGAAAGTGGTAGGGCCAACACCAATTGTAGGTTTTTATCAGCGAAGGCCAACAGCATGTGGCTCAAGGATGACTGGTTGCCACAGATCCCACTGTGTTGTTTGGGACAAATTACTTAGCCTTTTCATGTTTTACTCTCTCTAGTAAATGTCTGGCTTTTTTCCTAGAATTCTGGGTAGTGAGTGTCAGCATTTAGAGCTGTTTCGGCAAAAGCTTCAGAAAACCACCTTTTAATTTTGAAAATGCACCCTGCTGACTGGCAGTGGATTCCTGATGCTGGCGCTGGATCTTAGGCCTAAAAACCCCCGAGTTGACCTGGCTCATGATAGTCTTCCTTTGTGTTTCCCAGGCTGTCATTCTTTACAGGAAGAGACTGTTGTCTTTCTCCTGTGAACAGCTGGTGGATTTGAACCACTCACCTTTCAGGTAGTAGCCCAAAGGTTACACACTACACCACCAAGGCTCCTGGGATCTTGGATGAAGGAGTTTATGATACTATTTTATTTTAATATATGTTAGAAAGTTTTCCCAATTAAAAACACCACCAAAATGACCCTTTGTTAGGATAAAGTAACTTCTCATGAATTTTAACATGACAAAACTTTTATGTTCTGAACTCACTGAAGGACTTTAGCGTGTTTTATGAACCTCCTCGATGAAGGCATTTGCTCCTGCATCTCACTAATTCATCTTTTACCTTTTATCTCCTGCTCAGGGATTTGGGAAAAAGTTCTCTCCTCTCTGTTTACAGAGGAGAGTCAGGGTAGGATGTCACAGGAAGTTAGAAATGGGAACGGACCTGTGGTCCTCGCTTCACAGCCTCAGAGCCGCACGGCTGGGCCCTGCGCTGGTGGTAACTTTCTCCTCATGTTTTCTCTCTGCAGATCGTGGACACCCTTTTCATTGGCCGCTATGTCTTGCTGGCTCTGCTCAGTGCCATCTTCCTTGGCGGCCTCTTCCTGGTTCTAATGCATCACATCCTGGAGCCTGTTTACGCCAAACCGCTCCGCTCCTCCTGACCACTCTTGGGGTGCTCTCCATTTCCTGTCACTGAGGAGCAGGGAGGCACCTTCAGAGCCTTGACAATCTTCAGGGCTGAAGGTCTGAGGAACCTTTACCGAGAGCTCTGATAAATCCTTTGAGTCCTGGGGTTGTGCAGTTATTCCTGTGGGGATGAATTCTCACCCACTTAAGATGTACTACAATCTTCTTACCACCAGGACCTCCGTTTTGAAAGGGAAGTAGTAACAGTAATGTGCGTAAATTAGGTTTTCAGTCTGGAAACTGAATTTCAGTCAGAAACTCCCTGGGTTTGGGAGAAAAGAACAGTTTGGCTTCTATTGTCAAATATACAGAAGAACCTGACCCTTCTGGAATATGTAAAATTACATGCTGAATATACTGATGTATTAAAATGATCATATCATTTGGAAAAGAAGGGTATTCAAAGTTCAAAATGTTATTTTAATGCAACAGTGTAAAGATTTATTCAGGCATTGGCTGTTGGCTGCTCTGTGCATATTAGTCCATCATTTTCTTCTGTCTGAGGCAGACGGTGGCCAGAGAGCTGGCCATTACCCCACATTCACAGCCACAACTTCCAGGACCTTCATTTCTGTATTTCAAGTTTTTGGAGATTAAAGGCAGAATTTCGTGTCTTCCTGTGCCGTACTTACTTTCCCTCCTGGGACTGGATGACCTCTATGTGTATTATTTCATTGCTGTCAGAGTCCATTCTGCATTCTTCCCCTCCCTCTTTATCCTTACAATCCTCTCTCCAAAGCTCGTGAGGAAATACATCCTCTCAGGACTAGATGGACCTTCACTGCTGAGAGCCCAGGCCAAATGGGGCATGTTATTGAAAGGAGTTCTGATTAATTCTACTTTAAGAGGCTCACCCCATTATAAAAAAAGAATTTTCTAGCCAGCAGTTAAGAACCAGAAAACATAAAAGATGCTTGGCTTGTTGCCACTGACTTGAGTATGACTCACAGCAAGCCTAGGACCAGTGTTTTAGCGCTTCTCACCTACGTGGGGCGCACTGTAGGGAGGGCTTCATGCTTGGAAAGGTGGAGGGTTGGCCTAAGAGAGGAAGACCCTCACTGAGATGGATTGACATAGTGACTGTAACTAAAGGAAACACTGAGGGAAGCGGGGCTGACTGAGGTTTCCGTTTGCCCCTCTGCACACTTGCAGTGAGCCTTCAGTCTGCTTCCCCGACCCCTAGCAGAGAGGTTAAGGCAGCTCAAGTGAAGGAGAACTCCGGACAAGCTGTCACCATCTTACCTGCAAGACTTACTGCTGGATAAGCAAATCTGGGAAAACTTTTGCATGTTGCTGAACATGAAGTTTGGTTGTTGTTTTTTTTTTAAATTCCTTCGAAAATTACAACCATGAAGGTGTGAGTGGCGGTTTTCATGGAGGAAAGCATGTCAAGATTGAATCCAGCTTCCTTCCCAAACATTACTATTAATCTAATACATCTAAGGCTATACATCTAATGCTTTTCATTCATCTTTCGTTTCAGAAGTTTCTTAAGTCAGCCTGACCTTACTCACTAGCTAAAGTTTGACAAATTTCTCAGTATAAAAATGGAAGAAAGGCTAACATACTTCATTTACACACAGTATCAGGCCTTTAATAGAAAACTGTTCCTGAATTACTTTCTCAGTGTTGAGGAGCCATCCCTGGTATCCACAGCTGAATGCATGCCTGCCCTCTCCTGCACGGAGCCCATGTGGGCCTGCGCTCAGCATTCACCGTGCCCCTGCTGTATGGGAAGAGCTGTCCCTGCTCGCATAACCCACTGAAGGGGGAGCTTGAGGACACCTTCATTCTAACAAAGCAATTAATTTCTTGTACAGTTTAAGACATAAACTCTATTCTAGCCAACATATTATCATAGTCAGGGCATTTTTCCTTTGTTTCTTGTTCAACCTGTACTATTAGAAGCTGCTCCAGTTACTGTACAGGTGAGGAAACAGGCAGAAGAAAGGAAAGAAATGTCAAAGTTCCACAGCTAGTTGGCAACTGGGCTGTAACACTGCATCAGGCAGGACTCATTCTCAGACAGTTTAAAGATCATTTCTGCTTTCAGCCAATAATTTTTCGCATGTCTTGTGCCATCTCTCTAACATATTTTTTAAAAGTGAAAATTTAATTAATGAATACTAATTGGCACAATGTAAATATTTTATCATAATTTCTTGGCTTAAGCCTTTGCGTGTTTAGTTATTGTTACATATGAGCAGATTCCCAGATGTGGGAATGGGAATTGTGAGGAACAAACCTGGTATTCGTATCCCTATAGGAGCATAAAAACACCCCAGATTGGAAGTTCAAAGAGCTCAACCTTTCATCTCTCATCCCACCCCAGGACTTCGAAATAAGTCTGTTCTTCACATGGTAAAATTACAATTTGTATATTTTATTTAGCAAACATGTGTTCATCATTTTTCTAAGTGTTCTTTAAGTACTGACTTAAGTAACTCTCACTCTGACCTCATGCCATGGACACTATTAATATCCCCATTTCACAGATGGGGAACAGCCCAAGTGGAGAGCTGGCTCAATATATATCACAGTCAGACTCTTAACTATTTTCTACTGTATTGCTTCATAGGATGGGAACAAGGAAAAAGAAGGACCAAGGTTGGGCAGTGCAAATTCACTTATCAGAAACCACGGAGAACTAGCTGAGTTAGTAGAAAACCCAGGATCTTAAGTTGAGCAGGTCTGGGGCAAAGTAGTTGAGAGTCAAGGGACCCCAAGGACTCTGCTTTGTTTGACTTCTATCCTTGGTAGCATAAACAGTGCGTGTTCATCTGCTAACCTCAAGGTTGGTGGTTGAACACCACCCAGAGTCACCATGAAGGGCTTGGCAATCTGGGTCTGTAGAGGTTCCACCCACGAAACCCCTGGGGGAGTTCTGCTCCACAACACGAGGTCCCTGGAAGAACCAACTATATGGCAGGGGTTGGCTTTGGTTTATAGCTTCTCTGTAGACCTTGCTTCCCATGGCTCAGAAAGAGAGTTGAGCAGCTTGGAGCTAGAGTTTTCCAGAAGTAGATAGAAATCTCTTAAGCATTGTTGCTAGGTGCCTCTGAGTACACTGACTGAAGGAAACTCCCCCATCTTACACCATTCTGACATTCTTTACCACGTTTGAGCCACTGTGTCGATCCACGTGTTAAGGATCCTCCTCTTTTGTGACCAAGTGTGATGTCCTTGTCCAGGGATGGGTCCCTCCTGATAACACATCTAAAGTACATGAAACAAAGCCATCCTCCCTGAGAAGGGAAGGAATTACATAGAAGGAGTAATTCTAAGACAAAGGTATTTGTTCTTCTGACAGTCCACAGTATGCGTGCCAGTACCATAATTCAAGGGCATGAGTTCTTCCAGAATCTTTGATATTTGAATTACTTTCCAGAGGACCCAGGGAAGAATTGTAGCCCTATGCCGAGGATATTTTTGCCTTGATCTTTCTCTCTAGCAGATGATTAGCAGTGGGAATAGAAGGAATTTTTTTTTTCACTGATAAAAAAGGTCTTCTGCAAACATACTCTCTTTTGTTTCATGGGGCCTAGGAATGACAGCAGGGCTTCTGACTCAGGCTTCACTGCTACAAGAAGCAAGTTTCCTCAACAGGCAGGGTATGGTAAAGGATGGTCTGCCCTAAGTGGGAGAGTCACATAGGTAGCATTTTTTCTGCAACTCAGTTGCAACAGGGCAATTCCTTCCACTTTCATTTTGTAGGGTCTCCTTTGCTTTCCTGCATTACTTGCCTATTTCCAAATCGATCTTGCCCCAAATTCACAATGATAATATGCATTGATTTCCTATAATTACCATAGCAAATTACTATGAACTTGACGGCTTAGAACAACACAATTTTTTTTTTTTTTATCTGAGAGCTCTGGAGGTCCGAATTCTGAAGTCTCCACAGGCCTAGGATCAGAGCTCCAGAGGCTGTAGGGGAGAATCCATTTCCTTGTCTACTCCATGGTTTAGAGGCTTTCATTGATGTGTGGGCTCTTCCCCTTTCTCCAAAGCCAGCACCTTCTAACCTGATACACCTGCCTCCCAACAACAAGGAGCGTTGAGATTACACTGGGCCTACTGATAATCCAGAATGCTGTGTGTATATCACATTAGCACAGGTTCCAAGAATGAGAATGTGGACATCTTTGGTAGCCATTATTCTGCCCAGTATTTCTGTGTGAAATATGCAGCGGCTCCTCCAATGCTAAGGGCCACATCCTTCTGTCTCCCACTCCTTACCCAACTCCTTGGTATACAGGGCTGCCTCTTTGTCTCCATTGCCACTCACCAAATCATGGGGTCCCCCATGGTGTATGAGGTATCCCCCACCCCCTAAGTGGGAGCCTCAGAGCCCTAAGGCCTGATAATTGCTTCTTTCCTTTCCTTTTCATTGTTTCTACCCTCCTCCCGCAACCCAGCCCCCCAATGAGTCTCTAAAGGAGAAATGCGAAGAGTTATTGCTTTTTAATTACAAGTGCTATTGTAGCATCTATAAGGAAGAACACTTTAGGTTTAATTGAGACCAAATGTGAAGTTAAATTAAATGAATAACTAATTAATGTAATGCTCCCACATTGGCCCCATGAGTGCTGAGGCCCAGGAAGCAGGTACCAGCCCCTGGTGAACAGTCAGGGCCCAGGGCTGAGGTGGAGCTGGGGCCTGATTTAAGTGCAAAAGGGCATACAGATCCCAGGGCTGGGGAACCCTAACCCTCTGTCTTTCTAAGAGCAGTTTCCAAAATACCATTTGCATATCTCTGGTGTCACAGGGCCTCTTTCACTTCCCTTCGACACTGAATCACCCAACCCTAATTTTTCTCTCCTGTCACATGTATTTCTTCAGTTCCTACTCCTTCCTTGCGGAACCAATGAACAGAACAGGCTCACTGTCAATCATTATCATGTCTTGTATTGCTTTTAATAGTTTACCTATTTCTATGTCTCCTTGCCACTAGCTCAGCTTCCAGGGTTTGGGATACATCTACCATGCATTTGTCTCCCTTCACACCAGCCTTCTGAGGAAGGCAAGAGTCTACACGTTCTGCATGAGGAAGCTCAGAACTCAGATTCACTGCTGTCTGAGATGGGTTTGACTCACAGCGACCCTCATCGGGTTTCTGAGGCCTTAAGTCGTAGCGAGAGGAGATGTCCACCTTTCTCCCTCAGAGCTACTGGGTCAGCAGCACAGGAGCTACCCCAGCACAACTTAAAGCTAGTAAATGAAGAAGACTTCCAGTGGGCCAAAGGAGGCACAGGATCCCAGTGCTCCTGCCGCGAAGTTGCAAGAAATCTCTCCCCTGCCTCCCAGGAAGCAGAGGGGCGCCCAGTTCCAGCCTGGGCTCTAATGGGGTTATGGCGCCATCTCGTGGCCTATATAAGTAACAGCTTTTTCTGGTGTTGTGGAGTCAGAACCAACTTCTGACTCTGGGCTGATCCTTCAGAGGTGCTGAATCAAGTCCTAAGGGAGAAGAATGCCCATCTTTCTCTCGCCAAGCAGCTGGTGGAGTCAAACCTCGTGATTTTGGGTCAGCAGGGCAACTACTTACCCACTAGGCCATCAAAGCTTCCTGAGCTCATCCCACCAAAGTATCAGATCTTTGTGATCCTGAGTTCGTTAAAATTGCACCTAACACCAGCTGCTATGGCTCCTAGCCTCGTGGGCTCTGAGACCTTTGTGGCCATCAGACTGTGCACAGCTTGCTTCATCTCACTGTGTGCAGCCACAGAGCGCCCCAGTGAGGGCTTCGGATTCTTGGTTTACACAACACCCACCCCTGAACGCCAACTCTCAACCAGCCCCAGCACACCAACAAGTCTTGGGGGTCACCCCCAGCAGCACATGGAAACCCAGTTAGCTCCTGCTGTTAACAAGAGCAGAGGCACAGCTGGCAGAGGGAAATCTGTATTGTGCATGACGTGTTGGATGGAAAGAGCCAGGCTGGCGGGTAACAATCCAGGTACTGGTTGTAAAAGTGAATACTTCCAGAGTAGGTACAGTAGGAACATGGGCCAGAGAACTGGGATTACAGACGGCGCCAAGTACATGCACGTGTAACAGCTGCTGGAGGAAGCAGACAGGTCCGGTGACCTGTGAATCCTGGCTCCGAGCGCACAGGGCGGAGCTGCCACGGGCAGGAGCTCAAGAATCACCTGCGTTTCATGATCAGAATCCTTGACAACACACGCAAGGATGTTCAGTCACCCTCTACGCCCACTCCCCACCACAGCTGTGACCCCAGGGACTGGGACAAGAGGGAGGCAAGGAAGGCCCTCCCTATCGGTGTTGACAAGTTTGGGGTAACTGTCTACAAGACTGTTTCACCCTACGCCCGGCCCTGAAGGATATAACAACAATACTTTAATCAGAACGGGTAATGAAGTTATAAATAGGATCTAGCAGAGGGAGGAAAAGGGCCCACCTTGAGGAAGTACAGAGAGAAGCCTGACAGTAGAGAATCAAACTTGTCCAGTCCTGGGTCCCCACAGCCTCTGCCTTCGGTCTTGGAGATAAACAAGCGGAGTCTGAGCAACGTGGAGGCAGCTCTTGGGCCAGGCCCGTCCCTTGTGGGGGCAGCGCCCAGAGAGCAGGGCCTTTCCATGTCACTTTCCTCGAGCTTCCCACAGAATCTGTTCCACTGGCCTGGCCCCTCCTCGCTGACGTTGGGTCAAGAGGCCATCAGTGACTATCCACTGTCACTCCCATAGGGAGCACTTCAGGACCCAAGAGGTGGAGCCCCGCCATGCTGCTCTTCCAGTTGGGACCTCAGAACTCTTTATACCTGAGGGGACACAAGAGAAAGTGATACCAGGGTTAAAAGGTTTCTCTCAGATGACGGCAATGGGGCAAGCTGATTCTTTAACAACTGTGTCTCATCTTTGTCCACTGTAATTGGGATTTCCCTTCCCTTCCTGAAAGGGAATTGCAAGCTGGAATACCATTAGCCTTGGGATGTTCAAGCCCCATTTGGCAGTTGTAAAAGCAGTGATATACATCCCTTCTCATCTCAGCCTCAACCGTTCCAGGGCCTCCAGGATGCATATAGAGACCTGGCGGTTCAGAGGTGCCGGGGAACATGGCAGTCTCATAGGAGAGAGTGAAAAGGATTGTCCAGGGGTGTCTTGTTCCAAGCCCAGTGCTTTCTCTGCTCTCGCTACTGGCCCCACACAAGGCCTTTCCCTGGAAAAGGATTGGCTTCCGGCATCATTGGTAGTGAAAAGAGCAAATAGCCCCCACATACCTGGGCTCAAAGTTGGGCTCTGCCAGGACTAGCTGAAGGTGTTAGTCATATTCCAAGATACCTGAGTTTTCTCTCATCACTAACCTTTCTTTCATAATGAATTCATCAGGAATAGCTACTTTTCAAGGTGGCTTAAATGTAAGTTAACATATTTCCCCCTTTGTGCTGCTTTCTGTCCCCTCCCAACCACCCCTCTTCCGTGGTCCAGAGGACTGGAGGTGGAAGGGCTAGAATCCCCCGTTCCAGCCTCTGCCCCTTGTCCAGGGCGGGCCAGGGAGGCACAGAGCTTGTCCTCCCAGCCTGGGTGAGCAGCCCAGACTGTCACCACTGGTCACAAGAAACCCAGAAGAGTCTGTGTCACATTTCCCATCCAGCCCACTTCCTCCTGCTTAGGAGGGCCAAAAAAGCCACTGAAGGAGCGTTCAGGCCACCAGTGCCAGAATGTAGCCTCCTTGCTCTCAGCACTGAATCAAGTCCCATCACCACTGCATGTAGCTGAGGGCACAGCATGCTGGGCGCTGACACCTGGGATCACCCTCTTTGTCTTCAGATCCTGAGCAGAGGGGGCAGGTGGCCCTGGTCTCTGAATCTTAGGAGGCGTTTGCACCTCAGGGTCTGAGTGCAGAAGGAAGCCATTACCCAGTCTCTGCCGCTTTCCTGGCCATAGGAGGAGAGTCTACCCACCTCTGACATCTCAGATCCCTCAAGGAAATGCCCCAAACACCATTTTCTAGTTGAGCTGAGAATCCTTAGAACTGACCACCACCAAGAAAGACACTTCAAGAAATGACACCAGAAGGCAGAAGATTTGCATGCAGGCCCCGTCCTGACAAGATAGCGGCCACAGACTCGCACATACTCACAAAACTCATGGGACTTGAAGAAAATACTATCGCGGGTGGGTTAGGGCCAGACTAGAGCTATGGAGACACATAGAGCACAGGTTAGTGGGGTCAAAGCGGAGGGGCCCAGACAGCATGCCCAGCTGGCTTGATGCCCTGAAATCTGGGCTGGAGTCTCAGGATACGGAGAGGGCAGTGGGACACTATCTGACCCACCCAGGGAATCAGGAGCTTGAGCCAACTGGCGCCTCACCCTCTGCCACTGTTGAAAGACGCTTTCCAGGCCAGGATCTCCTTGTACACCAGCCGGCAGAGGAACTGTGGGGAGGAAACATCAAGGAGGAGAGGGCCATGCAGTCCCCCGTGATAGGTGACCAGCGTTCTAGAAGCCAGGAGAGGGGTGAACACAGCTTCACCAGGGAGGGAGCGTGGTTCTGAGCAAAGGGCAGCTGTTCCAGTCCCAGAACACCAGGTTTCAAGTCCCCTAGGACCAATCTGAGCAACCCAAAAACCTCTTACCAAGCAGGCCAGCATATCAGCTGAGATGAGCATGTAGAAAACATTGTTCCAGCCCGTGGGAGAAATGAGCCCAGCCAGAAGAGGCCCCAGGGCTGCACCTGAAAGGGCACCACCCAGAAGGTGATCAGACCAGGACCTTGCTCCCCCTGCCCACAGGAGGGTGGTGTGCCCAGGGGTCCTCAGGGGCTACCACCTCACGCCCAGGGTCACAGACCTATGGAGCCGGTGCCGTCGATGATGGCTGACACCGTGGAAAGTGCCTTGGCATTGCCCTTCAGGCTCTGGTGAGTGCCCTGAGGAAGCAGAAGATGCCCAGCTGAGCCACCAGTCAGGGCTGGCATGAAGAGGGGAGAGGGACGGGCTGAAAGAAAGAGGCCACTAGGGTTGGAGATACAAAGAGGGGCCTGAGGTGAATTCTGAAAGCCTTCGTGGACTTAGCCATTACAAGCTGTCCTGAGCAGAACAAAGGCACGAAAAGAAGAGGGGGGAAGATGGCAAGAAAATGAGCCTGGAGAGAGAGGCCCTGACCTCCGTCTCGGAACTGGCCAGCTCACCAGGTCAGCCGAGACTGCAGTGGTGATGAGGGCATACGGGCCGTTGACCAGGCCTCCACAGATGATCAGCATGACTGGGCAGAGAGAGTGCAGTCATCATGAAGCCCCCACCAGGATCAGGCATGAGCCACTCCACCTGCCTGCCCATCCCCCTGGTGTCCCCAGCGAGCCTGGCCTGGCTCTCTGGCTCCTCACCTATGGAGCTGGTCATCCCACTCTGGCCAATGTAGTTGTACAGGAACATCTGAGAGGAGTTAGCAGAGTGGCGGTCAGGCCAGGCCCTGGGCACTGTCCTTTCAGACTGGGACCAGAAGTCTGGACCAGCCCTCTTCTGTCCGCACCCCACAGCCCGCCTTGTTCCTCCGCTCTCACCCCGATTACTCAGGTCTGAGATGTGGTGACCTATTATTTTTTCTGTTTACCAATGCATCTTCTTTCAGGTATAACTCCAATGTTTTATTCTTTTCTTGGTCAGGAAGTGGTGTGGATGGTCCCCTCTGCTGCCAAAATTGTCGCTTAACCTGTCCCTGGACTCTGCCTGGCTTTCCTCCCCAGGCGCACACATGAGGCAACAGGGTGGACACCCGTGTCCTGGCACACACACAGGCACGCACGCACATGCATTGCTCTGAAAACCATACGTACCATGGGTGCGGCCAGGATAAGCATGATGCAGCAGGTGGTGGCGCTGCCACTGGTGTAGTCGGAGATGAACCCTGCCATGACTCCACCTGCAACACACCCTCCATTCGCATGCCACCCCCCACGGCCCCCACGCACTGTGGGCCCCACGCTTAGGCCTATCGCCCTGCTCAACCTGGGCCTGGGCATCGAGATCAGCAGAGCTTCTTGAGGCCCAGTGCCCCCTTCAAGGTGACCAGCATGCAATGGGCCAATTTCTGAGGGCTGCACAGCCAAGCAGGAGCAGAACTGGGAATAAGGCCAGAAGCAAAGCCAGAGCCCCTTTCTGCCTGATGCCACCTGTCCAGCTGAGTCTCGCTGGGCATGCCCCTTCTTTCTGAACCCCCAAACAGCAGCAGGGGTGCAGCAGGCACTGGCAGAGCAGGGAAAAGCCTCACCTATGATGCCACCAACATCGAATAGTGTAGAGAGGTCACCGGCCTCCTTGGCATTAAAGTGAGCTGTGGAGAACAGACAGCCATCAGATTAGGGCTCAGGGCAAACATCCTGCCAGGAGGTTCCCTTCAGAACATCTAATTGACTCTCATCCGCCTTTCAGGAGGAACAGAGGGCCTGCGGGTAAGCAGCTGGCTCAGAATCACACAGGAAGTCTATGGTACTTTAGGACCAGAGCCCTGCCTGGCTCCTTGTCCAGTACTTCCCTCCTCCCCTGCAGGATGACCTTGACCTTGAACAGCCTTTGCCTCTGGTCACTCAGGATCCAGCCCTGAGCAGGCAGCTCCACCAGACCATCTTTCCCAGAGAGCAGAACTTCTCCCAGATTCCTTCTACTCCCCCAAGCCCTGCAGCTGTTCCTACTGTGTGCCTGATCTAGCAGCAGCCCCCAAACCGCAGAGGGTTGTTATTGCTAGGTGTCATCAAGTCAATTATGAGTCACAGCAACAAACAGCTATATCCTTCCCTACCCTGTGCCACCCTCATCATCTCTGACACGCTCCAAACCATTGCACAAGTCATCATATCGATCTATCTCTTTGGGGGGGGGGTCTTCCTCTCCTTTGCTGACTCTTTATCTTGCCAAGCATGGTGTCCCTTTCCTAGGAATAGCCTCATCTAGCTACAAGTCCAAAGTATGAAAGATGAAGCTTCACCATCCTTATCTCCTAGAAACACTCTCGCTATATATTTTTTCCAAGATCTATCTGTTTGTTCTTTGGGCAGTGTATGGGATATTTGGTACTCTTTGCCAGCATTACAACTCAAAGGCACCAATTCTTCTATCATCCTTATTCATTGTCCAGCTCTCTGAGCATAGCAGGTAATTGAGATTACCATGGCCTGAATCAGGTGCACCTTAGTCTTTTAACTGACTTCATTGCTCTTCAGCATTTTGGAGAAGTTTCTGACAGCAGACTTGCCCAATGCAATATGTTGATCTAAGGAAGATTAAATCATCGAGAGCTTCAATACTTTCTCCATTTATCGTAATGTTGACTGTTGGGCCTATGGTGAAGACCTTGGTTTTCTTGATGTTGAGATGTCATCCATACAGAAGGCTGTAGTCCTTGATCTTCTGCACCAAGCATTTCATGTTCTCCTCACTTCAGCAAGCAAAGTTGTGTCATCTGCATAATACACATTGTTGATTAGTCTTCCTCCAATTCTGATGTCACATTGTTCTTCATAAAGTCCAGCTTTGCAAATTATTTGCTCAGTATACAGACTGAATAGCTATGGAGAAAGTACACAACCCTGATACATACCCTTCCTGATTTTAAACCATGTAGTTTAAGGTGCGCCTGATACAGGCCATGGTCTTTGCAATCACTTGTTATGCATCAGAGAGTTGAACAATGACTAGGGAAGATAGAAGGAGAATTGATGCCTTTGAGCTGTGGTGCTGGAGAAGATGCCACCTTCTTTTTTTTTTTTTTTAGATGCCACCTTCTGAAGAAGAGTATTGAATGTACCCTGGACTGCCAAGAAAACAAACAGATTCATCCTGGAGAGGGTTAAACCAGGCTGCTCCTTGGAGGCAAGGATTCTGGGGCTTTGTCTGACACACTTTGGACATGTTGTAAGGAGAGACAGGTCCTTGGAGAGAGATATCATGCTTGGTAAGGTGGAGGGACAGCGCAGGAGGGGAAGACCCTCTATGAGATGGATTGATTCAGTGACTGGGGTAATCGGGATGGGTGTGTCTGAGGCAGTGCGATTGGCACAGGATAGAGCAGGGTTTAGGGCTGTTGTACATGGGGTCGCTATGAGTTGCAAACGACTCGACGGCACATAACAACAACAACAACAACAGTGTTCCCTTGCTCTATTTGCGCAGCAGCCTCTTGATATAGGTATAGGTTTTGCATGAGCACAGTTAAGTGTTCTGGGACTCCCATTCTTCTCAATATTAGCCATAATATCTTATGATCCACATAGTCAAATGCCTTTGCACAGTCAATAAAATACAAATAGACATTCCTCTGGTAGTATCTGCTCTCAGCCAGGATCCATCTGACATCAGCAATGACATCCCTGGTGCTGCAGCCTCTTCTAAAGCCAGTTTGAACTTCTGGTAGTTTCTTATCAATGTGCCATGTTAGCCATTTTAAACGATTTTAAATGATCTTCAGTAATATTTTGTTTGCATGAGATATTAATGATATTGTTTGATAATTTCCACATTCTGTTGGAACACCTTTCTTGAAAATGGGTACAAATATGGATCTCTTCCAGCCACTTGGCCGGGTAGCTGTCCTCCAAATTTCCTGGCATAAACTGGTGAGCACATCCAGGGCTGCATTTATTAGTTGAAACATGTCTACTGACGTTCTCTGAATTCCTGGAGCTTTATTTTTTGTTAATGTCTTCAGTGTAGCTTGAAATTCACCCTTCATTATCATTGCCTCGTGTTCATATTGCACTTCCTGAAATTTTTCAGTATTAACTAATTCTTTTTGGTACAATGATTCTGTGTATTCCTTCTTCTTTAGATGCTTCCTGAATCATTCAAGATTGTGCCCATACCATCTTTCAACTTGCAACTCAAGGCTTGAATTTGTTTTTCAAGAAATGCTGAATAAATCATTTCCTTTTTAGTCTGTCATTCCAATAACGAGTCAGGAAGGAGACTTGGAAGAAAACAGGGACTTCAGGTCTCAAGATTCAGTTCTCAATTTAGAAAAAGGAACATCCAGAAGCTGGAACTGTAGCCCAGCCCCCAAGGCTGACTCACACTCTGAAGTCAGCACCCAAACCACAAAACCGAGTTGCAGAGAATGGGACCTGTGTGGGCACTCTACACTATTGAGAGAGGTCCCTCCAACACCACTGTGGAGTTCAGGCTTGACTCGTCCATGGCTAAAGCCACAGCACCATCTTCAGAGCAAGTATAGTGTGTGACAGGAGACTTGAAACCCTGGATGTGAAGACTTTAGACCTGGCAGAGCTTTGTGACTTGGAGCACTGGTGGTGGGAGAGGGGCAGCTCCTTGGTAAAGTTGATCTACCTATGGCAAAGTAGGGAGCTCTAGTGACCTAGTGGTCAGAAGCTGTTCTGCAATCCCAAAGGTATGCAGTTCAAACCTACCAGGTGTTCCATGGGTGAAAGATGGTTAATCTCTGCCCATGTGAGTGACTACCTCTGGAAAACCAATGGAGGGTCAGCCATGAGTCAGTTCTAGCTTGATTGCCCACAACAACGGCATGTCAAAGTAGAGGCCTAAGCTTGTTGTTGCTGTTATGTGCCAACGAATCACTTGCGACTCACGAACAAGAAACCTAAACGCTGCTCTATCCTGTGCCAACCTTGCCGTCTCAAACACACTAATTCCCACCACTCCACTCACAGAATTGATCCATCTCATCAAGAGTCTTCCTCTCCTGCGCTGTCCCTCCACTCTCCCAAACATGACATCCCTCTCCAAGGACCAGTCCCTCCTTGCAACATGCCCAAAGTATGTCAGACGAAGCTTCAGAATCCTTGACTCCAAGAAGCATTTGGCTTCACCCTCCCCAGGACAAACCTGTTTGTTCTCCTAGCAGTCCATGGTATGTTCAACACTCTTCTCCAGCACCACAGCTCAAAGGCATCAATTCTCCTCTATGCTCCCTATTCACTGTCCAACTCTCCGATGCATAGCATGTAATTGCGAAGACTGTAGCTTGGATCAGGCGCACCTTAGTCTCCAGTCTGATGTCGTTGCTCTTTAGTACTCTTGAGAGGTCCCTGACAGCTGACTTACCCAGTGCAATTCGTCTCCCGATTTCTTGGCTGCTGTTACCAAGAGTGTTGACTGTGGAACCAAGTAAACCAAAACTGTTAACTATCTCAATCTCTTCACCATCCATACTGATGCTGCCAATTGGCCCAGTGGTGAGAATCTTTGTTTTCTTGATGTTGAGCTTCAATCCATATTGAAGGCTGCAGTCCTTGACCTTCTGCAGCAAGCGCTTCAGGTCCTCCTCAGTTTCAGCAAGCAGGGTTGTGTCATCTGCATAATGCAGGTTGTTGATGACTCTTCCACCAATCCTGACCTAAGCTAGAATGTTAAATATCTTTTGTTTTTAACTACAAGAATGACCTTGCCTCACCTGGGCATCCTGGGCCTGGACAGAGGCAGAAGGAGGTAGATGCATCAGGGGAGCAGAAACCCAACTCCATCCAGTAGGCCCAGGCACAAAGGTCCCAATGTCCTGGGGCTCCCAGCAGTCCTCTTAGAAGACAGCAGTGGGCACAGCAGGGCCACAGGGCCCGAGTCTCCTAGAGGTATCCAAGGGCAAACCTTGTCCAGTATCTGATCTCAAAACTACCCAGCTGTGAGCCCTGAAGTGGTTTTTCTCTAGAACAGGGGACAAAGCAAAAGGCTGGAGAAGAGGAAAGAGATCCTAGAATGAGCACAGGTCCAATCCCTACTCATGTTCAGTGAGGAGGGGCGGCTGACATCAGGGTGCAGGGCACAGAGCACAGGTTTCACTGCTTTTGTTGTTGTGTACCATCGAGGTGGATTCAGCTCAGAGCTGACCCTCAGGACAGGTTTTTGCAGGCAGTCGATCACAAGGGAGAACACTGCCCATCTTTGCTGTCAATCCAGCCCAGCTCGCAGAAGACTCTACGCACAGCAGAGTGAAGCACTGCACCACCACACTGGGTCATGGTCTGAACTGTTGTGACTCACAGGACTTTCTTTCAGAAGAAGGTTCTAGGTCTTCCTAGTCTGTCTTAGTCTAGAAGTTCTGCTGAAACATCCTGTTCAGCATCATAACTACATGCAAGCCCTGCAGTGACGGGCACTGGCAGCTGGGCATGAGGAGCGCTGGCTGGGAGCTGAGGAAGGTGAGAATTCTACTGGCTTCACTCACTCACTCACTCACTCACTCACTCACTCACTCACTCATTGCTATTGAATTGGATCCAATGCAGAGCTACCCTTCCAGCAGGTTTTGGAGGCTGTGAATCACATGAGAAGAGATAGCCCATCTTTCTTCCTCAGACGTCCCTGGTGGATTCTAACCACCAGTGAGTCGGTGTGGCTCCTTATGCCACCAGAGTACCCTTCCACCGACTCAGGTTCCCATTTAAAAAATCTCCTTTGTCCTTGAGAGAGGAGTAGCAGAAGCCCTGCCACCCACTGGAGTCACACACACCACCCTGAGGGATCCCTACCTCCTGTACTCACCCACGTTGAAGATGTAGAGGGGCAGCCAGTAAAGAAAGGTGTAACTGACCAGCTTGGCGAACAGCAAACACAAAGAGAACTCTATCACACCCTGGGGAGCAGAGCAGAGGCAGGAAGGAGAGGATCCAAGATTGCTTTGGTCCACAGTTGTCCACAAGGGACGCTCAGCACCCATAATTTCCATTATTTGATGAACAAAATAACCTCCAACACCCACCTAATCTAATGAAAAGCAAGCGTGTGTGCTACTCAAATGCGAGGCAAGCCTCTCCAACCACGACCGACCCTGAGCATCTCCAGTCATGAAATCCTGAAAACCACCCGTGAGCTTGCTCCCCTCCCCGTCACCTCTGTGGGAACACTCACCGGGATCCGCAGGGCCCCCAGGAAGCTGATGGCAGCAGGCTGAGCGCTCGGTTCCTTGTTACATCCGGTGTCCAGGCTGCTCTCTCTGTCTGAGGAGAGGCCATTCACAGGGTCCTCGGGGTTGCTCAGATCCTCCTTCGGACCACTCTGAGAAGAAATGAGCCCTTGTAGTGGGTGTGTCTGTGGACCATTTCCCATCAGCACTGGATGAGGCATGGGGGGAAGGGGGCACTTCCTGATCTAGAGGAGGGCATGGCTCTTCCTGGGCTGGGCTGAGCTCCTGCAGGCCCTTTGGGTTGTGGGGCCTGAAGTAACAGCGGGGCCAATGCTCCTTCCCTCAGTTCCCCACTTTCTCTGGATGGAGGAGAGGGTGGGACACAGCTGGAAGGTCACACTTACGTGATGTTGAGGAGGGCTGCAGTCCACGTCCTCTGGGTCTGAAAGAAAACTGTGTAAGATGCTTCTCTGCAGGCAGAGCAGGCCCTTCCCTGCAGATACAGCAGGCCCTTCCCCACCTGGGTTCTACACCAGCCTCCAGGCGCCCACTTGCACTTTTCAGTGTGAGCAGTCCTGGAACTGGGTATCTCCTAACTCCTCACCACTGCCTCTCAGGCCTCAGTTTTCTTAACCACACAGTGGATAATACCACGCCTTGCTGACTCACAGAGCTATCTGAGAATATAGGTGGGAAGAACTGTCAACCACATAAAAGAGACCAAGTGCTAGGAGAATGTTTCTTCAATCCCACCTTTCCCTCTTCCCGCCTCTCAGATTCAACCAATGTCTGCTGAGCGCTGACTATGGACCAGGTAGTCTAACTGTATTATCTCACTTTTTCTGTCAAAAATCATGTGAAGCCCGACTATTTTAAATGAGAAAATCAAAGTTCATGGAAGGTAAGTGACTTGTTTGGTGACATAGCTAGTCTTCCACCTCCAGGGCCATTTTATCATTCTAGGATATCTAGGGGCTTTCTCCTCCCAGAATCAGGGTGTTCAGTGATGGGGTCAATGGGAAAGGAGGCTCAGGAATCACACCCAACTCACATTCAATGAGAAAGAGGAAGATGAAGATGCCCATGGCAGCAGTGATAATACCAGGTACGATAAAGGACAGGCCCCACTGCCCGTTCACCCAGATGCCAGCAATCAGGGAGCCCAGAATGTTGCCCACAGATGTGTGGGAATTCCAGATGCCCATGATGAGCCCCCGCCTGTAAGAGAAAAGGAGGAGGGGGGGGAAGGGGAAAATTAAGAGGAGATGAGTAATACAGCTCACAGTCACTGAGTTTGCCTCCCTGTCAGACTCAAAGAGCTGGCTGCCTGCAGCTTCTCTGAGGCACCAAAGATGAAGACTCTTGAAGACCCAAAATGCCCAGTGGGTGAATAAGGGGGCTTAGTTTGTGTCCACAGCTATTCAAGGTCTGGTCCTACTTCCCTTCCAAGGTCAGGGCCAGGCCACTCTCCCCAGCAAGTGGCACAAGGGCTGGGGGCATGGGACACCCCACTTGCTTTCCTCTGCCCTTTGATTTTACTCTACTGCCCTGGTCCTTCACCTGAAGCTATACTGACCTCAGGGGACATTTGGCAATGTAGGAGGACATAAGTGGGGGCTGCACTGACGTCTCAAGGTCAAATACTCCTTGTAGTGTGCCGTCAAGTCACAACGAACTCACAGCTGACTTTCCAGTGGGTTTTCAGAGGCTGTAAATCACATGGGAGGAGACGGTCCATCTCTCCCACGGAGCAGCGGGTGGGTTCAATCTGAATAGGCTGCAATACAGCAAAGAATTCTCTGGCCCCACATGGATGGGAACCTTGTCACTGAGGAAATCAGGACAGCTTTCTAACCACGATGGACTGACACAGGGACGGGCACAGCACAGGCTGTGAGGATGGCACAGGATCGGCCAGGGTTTCTTCCGGCTGTATACAGGTTGCTGTGAGCAGGGTCCAATTTGACAGCATCTGACAACAAAGCCTTGGTTCAAACCCACGACCCCGAGGTTAAGAATCTTGTGCCCTACTGACTGAGCCAGCCAGAAGTGGTAAGAAGCTGTGCTGCAATCCCAAAGATGAGCAATTCAAATATACCAGGAGGTCAACCTCCTCCCATGCAGTTTACTGCCTCTGAAAACACTCTGGAGGGTCAGCTATGGGTTAGTTCCCACTTGATGGCACACAACAATGACAATAAAATGTTTATAAGTGAGAATCAGCAAGACGGAGGAAACATTCTAGTCTTCACCAGAAGTGTTACTGGGGGCCAGGAGTATCTTGACCAGCGGTAGCCCTCTTGGGGCACACCCCACTCCTATGTTTTCATACTCACCTTCCTTTCCCAAACCAGTTGCCCACACAGGTCACCACGGAGGGCCAGCCTGTGGTCTGCACGAGCCCGTTACAGATCTGCAGGGAGGAAGGAGTTGAGAAAGGCTTGAGCTATGCTGCCATGTCCCTGCCCTGACGGCCACTGAGTTGCAGAGGTTAAATATCTGCCTTGAGAGGCCCTTCACACCCCACAGTGCACACTTCACCCTTACCTCACACACTTGTGCATGCACACACACATTTACACACCCAGACCTAATGTCACAAGCTGATTACTCCTCTAGCCCAAGATCCTTCAAAGCAGAGGCCAAATCTCGTCTGGAGCTAAAGTGAATTCAGGGTGGGACCCAGTTCAGTCTTGCAGAACAAATAAATGCACGACTGCCAGAACATTGAGTAGGGGGGCAATAGATGCAGTTGACTGGGAACCAGGAGTTCAAGTCCAGGTCCGCTAGGCCTGGGGGTGGGGGATAAGACTCAGTTCCTGGCTGGAACAAAGGGCAGGAGACAAGGTGAGACCCTCACCTGAATGAGCACAAAGTACCAGAGCATGTGGATGTTCCAGAAGTACCCCAGGCCAAGGAGTGAGGTGAAAAGGCCACTGAGGAGCATCCCGGCCGAGAGGAAGTAGCGGATAGGGAGACGCTCCCCAAAAATGCCACTGGAAAGAGAGATGGGTTTGTGGTTAATCTGCCATCATCACTTGTTCTTGGTTCTTCTCCCATTGCACACAGCACACAGCACGCTGAAGCTGCTCTGGTTAAGGTGACCACTGGGGGCCTCTTTGTTGCCGCATCTCATGGACAGTCACCAGAGGCTTCTGCTTTGACACTGGTGACCTCCCTCCTTTAAATCCTTTCTCTCGTCACCTCAAAGGCATTCCCACTGCTGAGCTCCCTCTAGGCAGTGTCAGACACCCTACAGGACTGCCCAGGGCTTCCAAGTCTGTGGTGTTTACGGAAGCAGACCACCGCCAGGGCAGGTGAGTGCTTCATCTGACAGGACACCAAGGCATCGAATCTTTCAATCGCTGCAGCACCAGGGCTCTTTTCCCACATTGCTGTTGCCTATGGAGGCAAGGATTCTGAGGCTTTGACTGGTATACTTTGGACATGTTGCAAGGTGGGACCAGTCCTTGAAGAGAGACGTCATGCTTGGGAGGGTGGAAGGAGAGTGCAGGAGAGGAAGGCCCTCTATGAGATGGACTGATTCAGTAACTGGGGTAATTTAAGCGTAGGTGTGTCAGAGACAGTGAAATTGGCACAGGACTGAGCAGGGTTTAGGGCTATGGTACAAAGGGTCGTTATGAGTCACAAGTAACTTGACGGCACATAACAACAACATATTACCTATTTCCTCTTCTTTTGCTGACCATTCTGCCTCATTATTCCCACTGAGAAGTCTTTTCAATCATTTCTATGGTTTTTAACTACCAGTGATATCTTACACTCAGAAGGAAAAGCTTTGGAAAAATCAACTATTGAAAATTTTAGGGACATAGTCTATTCTGACTCACATGGTATCACCAAAGTCAGCTCTGACTCAACATCTGGGCTTTGTTTTTTCAATATATTCAATGCCCAACCTTTTGTGATCTGTGGTCTTCAACTCTCCCCAGCGTGTCAGGGTCATATCCAAATACCCAGACTTCTTTACTCCAGCCTGAGTATCTCTTCCTCAGCCCTTCATCTGGGTCAGTGGTGTCACCATCACTGATCACACAAGCCAGAACCAGAGAGCTTCCTTGGTCTTCTCCTTCCCACCCCCACCCCGCGTTCAACCTCCAGGACTCATCTGTCCTACCTTCTATATAGTTTTCTGGTGTCAGCTCTCTCCCATCTCTATCACTCCTATTAAAGCTCTTTTCTCAAAGCTCAGCCAGTTACTGCTAAAAGCTGTTCCATAGTACAACAGGCCTCCCACCCTACCCTACTCAAATCTTCTGCTTCACCCTAAACGATCCACCTTGCACGTGAATCTGGCAGGACACCAATGCAGCAAATCTTTCTGTACCCACAGCATGGTCCACGGTATCCTCTGAAAATAACCTCTTCCTTCATCTACTGCCACATTTCCCTCAAATTTTACACTTTGGTAAACCTGGAAGGAGCTCTCGTGGTCTAGAGGTAAGATGTTGTGCTGCCAACCCAAAGGCAGGCAGTTCAAATCCACCAGCTCCTCCTCAGGGGTAAAAGATGGGCAATCTCCTTCTGTGTGATTTACAGTCTGAAAAGCTGCTGGAAGGTTAGCTATGCATCAGTTCCAACTTGATGGCAATCAAGTTGTTTTTTGTAAAAACCTGTAATAACTTGTCCTCTAGCTCACGCTTCTTACTTACATTTTTAAATATTTGCTTCCACTGCTCCTTTTGTGTGTTTTTTATCCCTTCTGCCAACCTCAGTTCCTCCTCTTCATCGCTCCAGTGTCACTTCAGAAGACCCTACTCTCTGAGCCCAGCTTGGACTGTGACAAGCTCTGCACTCCGAGAACACCCTGCTGGACCTTCTGTCCAAAAGCCACCACCCTTCTTTGTGTTTAGCTACTTAGGCATCTGTGTCACCCACTCTGCAGGCAGGGCTCTGCCACCTTAGACTCTTGGCAGTGAGCACCATGCTTGCTTGACTGCAGTCACGTGGGCCAAAGGAACAGTCAGGAATGTGCTTGGGGCACTGCCTGACTGAGGACATGGAGGGGTTGTGCCTGGCTGAGGATATGAGGAAGGTGCCTCGCTGAGCAGTGGTCTTGGTGACCATGTGGTAGGAATAAGGCGGGTTGTGGCTGATGGTAAGCGCACAGATCTTGGTCTCATTTTCACCTAAGGGGGTCCTTACCTTTTTCACTTTACCCCGAAACCCCCTTGACCCTCTGACCCTGGATGGTTTTGGACTCTGCCTCTCTTATTACCTGATAAACATGCCAATGGCATAAGCCACAAGGAATGCATTGTCCACAGCCCCCAGCAGCTCCTTGTAGTTGTCCTTGTCTGAAAATAGAGTGGAAAGGGAACCCTGGCTGCTTGGTTGCCCTGCAAAAAGACCCCTTCCCGGCCCTGGGCAAGCCCTCCGGGGAAGGGAATCAGGAAATGGTGACTTGGCCTGTTCTCACCAAATGGGGCCCAGCTGCACCATGTGGTGTCATTGACGTGGGTGTCATTGGTGGGCTCGATCAGCTCGGAGCAGTTCTGATGCAGACGACTCTGTGAAAGCCAACAAAAAACAGGTAAGGGTTATCAGATGTGTCAGGGACCCTCAGCCCAGCATGCTCTGAGCACCCTCCTCCCACCACGCCAGGCCCACGCCTTCCCCACTAGCACTTCTCCGACAGGGCAAAGTGGCCATTTCAGCGGTGATGGCAAAGGGTGACAGCAGCCCATCAGTGGGGCCCACACAGCCCAGGCTCTCAGCTCTCTGAGTGCACTCGCAACCACTTCTGCCTGGTGAGGCCTTTTGCAGGGAAACCTTCTGAAAGTGGGAACTGCCCTGGGGGAGGTGCAGTCCTGCTGATCAGGATGAAGCAATGAGGATGGAGTGAGCTGAGTTCCAGGCCATTCTACGGAAGGTGTTTCTGCTTGGCCTAGCATCTCCAGCACCTGTCCTTGCCATAATCCAAGCCTCACCTTGACAATGCTGATGGGCTTTCTGGACATGTGGTAGCAGGTATAGACCAGGAAAGTCAGTATCAGGATGAAGCCCCGGAACCTGCAGGAAAAGGCAGGTTTCTGGGTATGAGGGAAATCAGGCCCAGTGTTCCGCTGATGGCAATGCAAGCAGCCCCCAGACCTCACACCACCTTACCCTCAGGCTTCCCTCCAGACACAAACAAGGCCTTTGAGGCTGAGGGCCAGGTTAGGAAGGAGCAAGATCCCAGGGGCCAAGATGCTGGGGAGGCCCTGCCTCCCTGTCCTCAACCCCAGCGAGCCCTGCATCCTCAGAGAGTGCCTCCCTTTCACCTACTTCCTCCCATCATTTCTATTTTCTGTGGCCCCACTAATGGAGGGGTCAGAAGCTCTAGTGGTCTAGGGGTAAGGAGTTGTGCTACCAAATCAAAGGCCAGTGGTTTGAATCCACCAGCTTCTCAGCAGGCTGAAGAGGGGCAATCTCCTCCCGTTTGATCTACAGCCTCTGGAAACCAGCTGGAGGGTCAGCTGTGAGTTGGTTTCATCTTCATGGCAATGAGTTGAGAGGAAGACAGAAGTGTATGACAGAGAAAGACAGAACAATAGTAAAAAGACTGAGGGGTGAGAGGGTGATTGGGAAACTGAAACAAGACAGAGTCTGTCTTTAGGGTGAGAGCGAGACCCCTCTTATGCTTAGAACACTGCAGAAATAGCACCTGTTTGGACCCACGTAGAGCAGAGACCACAATCAGAAATGAATCAACAGAAGGAAAGCTGTTGACTTGACCCAAGTTCTCTGGCTAGTTCTCACTGCATCCATTCCAATGGACAAAGATCATTCTTTCCACCCATGGCTCATATATCACATGTGCCTCTCCTTCCTCCTGCCCCTCCTTATCCCATATCTCATCTGATAGGGAAAACCCAGAACAGCCCAATACTACCCTAAGTTTCCACCTCACCTCCCTCCATCCCCCTCTCCCAAGGGTCTGGAGGAAGCTTCAGTGCCTTCCTGACCCATTGTTTCCCCAGCAGAGATCAGCTGAGCCTAGTCAGCAACTTCATGGCAGAGAGACATCAGCATGAATCCCCAGGCCAGGGGAAAGAAGCAGGCACTAGGAAACACCAGAGTCTGGGTTTAAGACTCTGCATTCCAGGGTTCCGGCCGCAAGGGCCGGGATGCTCACTTTTCCCCTCTCTGGGAAATTGCTAAGGCTCCCCCTTGTGAACCAGAGGGACATCTTTCCAAAGTCTGATTTGGGTTGAAATGAAGCCCCTTCTCACTTTACCCTTAGACTTTAGGAACCGCTTTCTGCCTGGGTTTTCTCTGTCCACGTTCTCTATTTTCTGACAACAATAAAATGACACATATGTAAGTGGGTAAGAAGTGGCACCCAGTTCATCATCTTGAGTAAAATTTCTCAGTAACTCTGCATCTCATTAAGAATGAGGTTCCATGGCTTTGACAAGCACTGTGGCATTTGGACAAGGACAAACTGGGAGGAGGGTAGAGAGAATAGTGCAACAATGAATGAATGGAAACCCAAAATCTCTGTAAATGTTTATGAAAATTAATAAAATATAATTATAGAAAAAAAAAAAGAATGAGGTTCCAGGAGAATTGATCATGGGGTTGTATAATGTGATAAGTGAGGGAAACTGGAAGAATCTGGTGTGAAAAATAATGTATTCGAATTTTGTACATAAAGTAGTATAATAAAAATAATTTTAAAAAAAAGAATGAAGTTTCAGGTCTTTAGCCTGGAATTCATGTTTCCGTATAACATAGTCTCTGACATCCAGTTCCGGACGGTGGACACTGCAGAGGCCTTCTGAAGATTTGGGTTCATTAAAGAAGCTGGGTTTATTCTGTGCACCTGCCCCAGTGACTGCCTTCAGCAAGCTTGGGGCAGCAATGTCTTCTGGGTCTGGCACATGTCTCCATACAACTAGTCCAAGGACTTCAGAATCTGGAGGGAAATTCTTCCAGAGAATTTGGAATAACCAATGTGTATGTTGCAAAGAATAGCAGAGAAAAGAAAACAGAAGCCCTGAAGATTATACCAACGCAAGCCATTGCCTAGAATGGTGCTTGGGCCAGTAGAAAAGGTTGTTTCCAGGTCGGTTATGAAAGTTCTTGTGCTAAGTTAGGGAGCTCTGGAGGCCTGGTGGTAAGGAGCGGCACCCAACCGAAAAGGCACTCAATGTGACTCCACCAGCCAGTCTGCAGGACAAAGATGGGCAGTCTCCTCCCCTGTGGGATTTACCACCTCTGAGCACCCACTGAAGGGTCAGCTGTAAGTCACTTCCAACTTGACAGCGCATAACAAGAACTTGGTGACTTGCTGGCTGACCTAAAGCAGGCTCTAACCTCTTCTGACTCTTTTTTTTCCCCTCATCACTTGCACACGGATGAGAGCACCAATCCTTTATATGCCACAGGCGAACACAACATCAGCCTCCCTCCAGTCCCTTGACAATCAGGGCTCAGCTCGGCCTACCCTGGACAACCACGTGGCTGACCTGGGCCCCCACCTTCCTGTGTGTCCACTGAATAAATGAGACCCTTGTTGGTCCCATGTTTCAATCTCATGTAGACCTGCCAGTGACTTACGTCAGGCCCAGCAGTGTGGCCTTTGCTAATTCGGAGTTCAGTGATGACCAGAAAGCTCAGCGGCAATTCAGCAGGGATGCCAGGTACACTCGGGAGCCAGTCAGAGCCAATGGCAGCCCAGGATGCACAGCCATGTGCAAGCAACCCCTAGGTTCCACAATCACGCCCAGCACCACATGGCCTCTCCCCTGAGCCCCAGGCCCCTGTCCTCCCAGGAAGGAGTCCTGACCACGTTCCCCTGGCTTTCTCCTGCTCGTGCTCCCAGGCAGGCAACCCTCATCGGCTCCATGCCTCTGCGATCCGCAGTCCTCTCCAAGCCCACCCTGGGTCAGAGTAGCTGATCCCCTGATTGCTCCCTCTCTCCCTCTGCCTCCTCCCCACACTGTTTGTCTGCCACTTTCAAGCAGCTAAGCAGGAGATATTATAAAAGGAGTCTCTTCATTCCTGGGGCTCACAGGGCATGGGGGCAGAGGACCAGTGAGAAGGGGCATGGGGTAGTGTGTTGTTGTTGTTATGTGCCGTCGAGTTGCCTGCGACTCATAGCGACCCTAAATGTAAACCCTGGGTGACGTTCAAGCACAAAGGAGAAACTTGGGGCATCAGCCAGGATGGAATTGGTGTCCAGAGGGATTCCTGGAGGTGGGGCTTCAATTGAGTCTTCAAAACAGTCACTGCCAGCAGCGCAGGGTAGGGGCAGGAGAGTGCGCCAGGGGGCAGGAACAGTGAGTGCAAGTGCACAGAGGCATGGAAGCACACTACCTGTTTGGGGAACTCTCAGAGGCACCGGATACCTGCAAGGTGGGATTCAGCCAAGAGCAGGTGGAAGTGGCAGGGGCCCAGCGGGCACTTTGGAGGCCCAGGATTTGCCAGGTCAGGGATCTCTGGCATCTTCCAGGCTAAACCAAGTGAAGACCCAAACTTCACCCTAATGATTTTTTTGGAACCCACAGACCAGTTTCTTCCCTGAAGGGTAGGCCAGCTCCCCATTCCTTTTACACTATAGCTGTGCCCACACGCACAATGGCTGCATCACACAGTGTTACGTGGGGAGGGAGGTGAGGTGTGCAAAAGAGCAAGAGCTTCCGAATCAGGTGAAGCCCGGCTTAAATTTTGATACCATGTCCTCATCTGAAAACAAGTTCCTCACCTTCTCACGGGGGCTGATGACAGATAGTAAGGTTACACAGTCACAGGTCTTAACTCAGTTCCTGACACCCCATGGGCACTTCAGAATGACAGCTAGTGTCATTTTAAGTTTCAGATGTGGACAAAGAGCTGAAGAGAGGGTGGAGGGAGAAGGTGTGGGCAGCCCACTGATGTGGAGCTGGGTAGGGCTGGGGTGATGCAACACTTCCTGAGTATGGGGCTCTGGGCCTCTTGGAGGACAGGAATGGAGAATAGTATACTCCTTTCCTTCCCACCAGACTCTAGGTGAACACAGATTGCCCCAAGGCATTCAGGGCCTTCACCTTCCTGGGGTGGATGGAGTCAGGTACCTGAAAGTAATTCCTCTCTTAAGGCTTTCCTCACAAGAGGCTCCAGAGCTCACATGAAAGTCAGCAGAGGTCCACCAGGACCCTCTGACACCCTAGAGCCAAACCTGGTTTCCGTTAGAGTCCTGGCATGATCTACCCTCAGTTGTGATTTCTGCCCCTAGCAGAAAACTTTACATCAAAATATCCAGAGGCAGCAAGACTTGTGTTTCTGGGAGGCAGGGCTACTCAGCTGTGTAAAGACCAAGTCAGTCTTTTGAGACCCCTTGCCTGCACCCTAGGTCCCCTGAGACACCTGGTTGCACCCTGAGCCCTCTGAGATCCCTGCCTGAACCCTGGGACTCCTGAGACCCTTCCTTGACTGTACCCTGGGTCCTCTGAGACCCCTGTTTGCACCCTGGGTCCTCTGAGACCCCCTGTTTGCACCCTGGGCCCTCTGAGACCCCTGTCTGCACCCTGCGCCTCTGAGACTCTCTGTCTGCACCCTGGATCCTCTGAGACCCCTACCTGCACCATGCGCCCTCTGAGACCTCTGCCCATACCCTGGGCTAAACAAAAAGCTCAGAGTGTCGGAGTCTGACAGAACATATTTGCCCCTAGACCCCCTGACTTAGTTCCATTCTACTCTGGCAGATGTTCCACGGTGCCACAGTTCAAAGGGGCCTGAGGACAGTGGTTGGGAGGGTCTGTGAGAGGCCAGGTCTTCCGGAATGACAGCTGACTGAGTCGCACAGACCCATGGGTTTCACTTCTCTTCTCACAGGGCTGAAGCGAGAGGCCCCAGCAGGGAAAGTGGCACAGCTGGTCTGGACCAGGCGGCCCCAGGGTGGCTATGAGAGAAGAGGACAGCCAGGCTAGGCAAAAAGGCAAGGGACAAGAGCCAGGCAAAGCCCCTGAGTGTCCAGGTGGGGCTCCTGCCCTGTGACCCCCTAAGTCTCTATTAGCAGGTGGCGACATTTCTTAGAATCCCACTTCTCTTGGCCCAATACGAGTTACTGAGTAACCAGGTCCAATAGAGAGGCGGCCCAGCTATCTCGTAACCACTAGCTGACAGTACAATTACTCTGAATAAACATGATAATGTTTTTATCGACCACGTTAAGACTTTGCACTAGGAATGCTCCTGGGTTAAGAACAGGTAGCAGTGTTCTGAAATGGCAGTGTCCAAAACAAATCAACAACAACCCCCGGAAGGGCCCATTTTAACACCTCAACAAGGGGCAGCAGTGGCACAGCACCACAGGCAGGTGACGGCCTTGGGACAGGATGGAAGCAGGTTCCTTCCCCCGTGGCTTCCTCATTCTGCACCACCAGACCAGTGCCCTGGCCCCAGGCAGACTCTTTCCTCACTTCATAACCACACTGCTGACCGTCCACACCCCCAGGTAAAGCTTGTGGGGACTTGGGCCTTTTCACTGACCCACAAACATGTCCCTGGTAACAACCGCAGATATGCAGGGTTGGGCTGAACTCACAGGAGGCCTTAAAAATGGACTCGGTGACCTTTCCTTGGCTGTGCTTGCTCTGAGCCCAGTAAGAACAAGCTGGGGCCAATGGTGACAGCACCATTATCCCCACTTTCTACTGAGTCCTCTACTGCCACAGAGAGACATGGAGGCCAGGCCAGCTGGGACCTGTTAACACGGGGTAGCAGCTGAGCGAGGCCTGTAGTGCAGGGGGATGCGCTGAGGGAAGCTCTCCTGGGGCAGTGGTCTCTACTGTGGCCTCCTACTGGGCCTTTGGAGCCTGCCCACCGAGTGGACTTGGGACATGGTTAAGGGCCTTCCCAGGGACAAGACGCACTGGCTAGAAGCCACAAGACCCAGGATGTCCCAGAAGAAATGAGTGGCTAAGGTGATAATCAACTTTGTTTAGGAAACAGAAAAACTAGGAGAAGAAAGCTGATTTGGGCACATGGATGATCAAACAGACAAAAAGCCATGGTATTAAGCCACAGCGCAAGATGTGTCAGGTTCTAGAAGGGGTAGCGGACAGGGGTTGACCTGCACAGGAGATCCAGCAGAGGGACGCCCTGTCCAGGGAACATGGCAGACAGCAGCCTTCCTACAGGGGTCCTGTGGGGGGTCTAGCTCCAAACCAGGCTCCTGCCCAGCCCTCGCCTGTCACCTTCAACCACTTCTAAGAACGAAGAATCCAGAGGCCAAAACAAAAGGCCAGAAGTGGAGCAGTAACACTTCCCCCCTAGTGTGTATGTATGCACATATGTGTTCTGGAAAATGTAAATGGAGGGTCGTGAACTTCATGTCCTCTGCCCTGAGTTTGTGACACTCAGCACGGGCCTCACTGCCCATGGGCACAGCGTGAGTGGAAGAAGCCAGTCCTTGGCCAAGAACACAGACCATTTCTGCTGCCTTTCAGACCAGGCAGGAGCCTGACTCAGGCAGCCCTGTTCAGCATTGGAGGGGTGTGCGTGTCTACAGGGCAGGAGGGAAGAGGAACCAGCAGGGTGGAAGAGGAAGAGGACCTCAGGAGGAGGACAGTCATGAGGAAGCAGGGCTGGGAAGCTGAGGGTCACATGCCTGGACCAGCTCTGAGGGGCCTGTGAGGAGGGTTGGGGAGGGCAGCGCAGGGCAGGGCCATGGATGTCCCCCCAGGTTCTCCTCCCTGGGCAGCTGCATTCACCACAGCGCAGTACAAGCACCTCTTGGTAGTGACCAGGAAAGTCAGGGAGAAATCTGCTTAAGGCCCCTGATAATCTCAGGACAGGGAAAAAGAACATGAGACTTAAAACCAAAAGTTTAATTTCTGGTTTTGCTACTTAGTGCAACCTAGGGCTGGTGGCTTAACCTCTCTAAGCCTCGATTTTATCTTCTTTCGTCCAGGATCATGAAGTTCTGCCCCACAGGACAGTAATAGGATTAAACAGGCATATGGGTTGTGAGCGGATGTGGTGTGCAGCGGCTCCTCTGCATGACTGAACGTCTCAGGTGTCTCTGTGGGCTGCCGCTCTGGATGTGTGGACCCATAGTTGAGGCCACCAGCCTCCAGGGCCTTTCCCAGCTCGCAAGGGAAAACCAGGGTGTGGGCAAAAACAAAGTGACACAACAAAGGCGTCGCAGCCTCTGGTCTTCCTGCTCTTCAGGATGCCCTGCCTGGTCCTCCCTCCCACAACCCCCTCTGTATCCCAGGCCGGGCCCCTCATAGAGCCCCAGGGAACAGGCCTCGCCCCATGGGCCCTGTGCCCACGCAGATACCGCGGCAGAGGAGGGCCCAGTGCTCAGAACCTCCGGGAGCCGTGTGGTCCTGAAGGGCCATGAACACTGCCCCCAACCCTGACTTGGAGGGCCCACCCGAAGCCCAGGCTCCAGAAAGGAGGCAGAAAAAATCTGCCTGTGCCAAAACTCCTCAGAGACCCGATTTATGACTTGTTTATGTGTAGATGTTCCTACACACCTGGTGCCTCCCACCTCCCAGTCTCGTTCCACGTTCGCCCCACGGCATCCTGGGCACCTGCGCTGGGCTGCAGCTAGCCTACCTGACAGACTGCCCGTCACACCTTCACAGCTTAGTGATCTGCTCTAGAGTCCCTGTAGGACCACAAAGTCCCAGGTGACATTCTCTTCCCACCACCTCCCCGCACAGAAATCCAGAGGCACTTAAAAGTTGCCAAGCACGCACGCCTCAGCTAGGTGCTTTCAATATTTTTTAAACTTAATCCCACCGAAACCTTGGTAAATACAGATGCAGTTGTTGTTTTTCTTGATTAGACAAGTACATTGAGTCTCCGAGAGATTAAGTGATTTGTCCAAGGCCAAATAGGCACCAGATCTTTGTCCACATCACACCATTATCACCTAAGTGTAAAGACAGGGGCACAGGAGTCACACTATCTGGGGTTCAAGTTCCAGCTCAGACACTGAAGCTGATACCAAGACGCTGGGCTGGTTACGTAAACTGTGCACCTCGCAGCTTTGCTACTTTGCTTTCTAAATGAATGACAGGCATGCCTGACACCAAGTACCAGGAAAAGCAGACAGAGTAGTATCAATAGCCACTGGTTACTGATTGCTTTATATGAACTTGGCACTGATTTCTGTTCATTCACGTCCTATCTTATTTTCTCTTCATTAATAGTTTTATGAAGTGGCTACTACCTTTATTATTATTTTATAAATGAGGAGTCCACGGCCCAGGGCCATCTGCCCTCTTAACTTCCTACGCTAGGCAAGCCTGGCTAGGTCTGTTTTCTTACTTCTGCTTAACCACCCTCCTTGGGACACATGAAGACAAGGTTGACAGAACACCTGTTCTTAGTTTTATTTCAGATTGAGTCTTCCATCTAGGCCAGCCTCCATTTCAGTACAGGAAAGATTAGCTGAGTTACCATCTATCCTAACAATGATATCAGCATTAATAGTGGTGATAATAAAACCA